TCAAACGATATTATTGGAAAAAAAAATGTGAAAAAAAAATTGACTCGAACTTGACTCGTGACTCGAACTTGACTCGGGCTCGAACTTGACTCGTGCTACGATCAAACTCCCGGGGAGGTTGGTACAGAGATAAACTGACAAGTTTTTGGACATCCCTTTTTCTGGAAAATAAAATGAGGTTCCTTTTACTCTAAAGCACGTATCATTGTTGAAGGCAAAAAGGAAATCTTTCTGGGTTACACGTGCTGGAGTACAACGCATTTTTTTGTTCCCTCAAGTCTCTGTTTCAAAGCGAGGCTAAGTGCATTGTATATGATATGAAAATTACTTTTTCATTCTCATGCAAATAAAACTCATTTTAACAACAGCTTTTCTAATCAGCGACATAGTTTGAAAGTTAGAGTTTTTGAACTCGGAAATTGCCAGTTTCAAACAACTGGAAAACAATGATATGTGTGTTCAAGTACAGTTTTGAGCTTCTGAAAATTGTCGTGCAGTAGTTCTTTATGGGGACGTCAGTGAGATAAAACTTAGTACCATCGTTATAATTAGCTAACATTAGAAGTTCATTTTATCGACTTGTTGTGCCGTCAAATGAAACTCATTTTACTGGGCCTCACGCTGAGACTGGCCGCCCTTTTTCAATATTGGGCCGCCGTTGAATAACGGTTATAAGCCACCTGCTTATAAGACTTGTCGGGTTATAAGCTTTCCCAGTAACAGGATTCCGTCTATCGATAGTTTGTTTTATCATGTATGAGGGGTTACAACGGGTATTTTATGATATAGTGAAAAACTATACGGTTTCTTTTGCTTGGGTTGTTATCATTTCACTTTTACTGAGGTAACTTAGGGATAATTTCTTCAGTTTATTTCAGCCCTTCACTGTCGGTTTGAAAATCCCGGCCGACCTTATTACACGTGTCTCCTTAAACGCGATATTTTCTTTCTCCGAAACCAACCACGTATCGCGGTTTGCTTTAGCTAACTCTGACTTCCCTCAGCTGTGCGTGTGTACACAAACGTTTCCTGGCACGTATTTAGGCCCACCAGTCCCTTTCATGGAAATTAAAATGAGGTTCCTTTAATTCTTGAACACGTGGGCAGAATTACCGAGAACACGCGCGGGATCGATACAGGTGCCGGAAAAAAGGAAACTGGAGTGAACAGTAAAAAAAAAAAAAAAGTACTAAGAATTTTATGTTTTGTTATCAATTAAATTGACACACTCTTTTTGATTAAAAAAACGTACCTCTACGAAAAATAATCAGCGACACGAGAATATAGCCGTAAATTTTTTTCTTTATCCGGGCGTTTTTTTGTTTGTTTTTTTTTTAGCTAAATCCCCTTCTTTGTATAGTTAAACAGATCGATTAATGGCGGAGTTAAAGGATTGTTTATAGTGGAAAGTGTACTTAGCTTATCCAGCTAGCATACAGACACTCCACTCAAATAGTTCAAATGTTTAGCCCGCGTGCAGTTAAGTTCTCATCAACATGGAAATCCCCGACTGCGTGCGCTGCCCAGACAAACTTGTGCAGTCTAAAGCCCCGGCCCTTTCACACAGGCCAAAGTTTAGGCCTGTTTCAAACGTCGTGCTACTGCTGTGCTAAGCTAGTGGCTCGACTATAACTCGACTGCAGCACGACATTAGCACGACTTGGTTTAATTCAGTCGAATAGAACGGTTGTTGCCGAAAACAAAACACAAAAATAAGAAACGGTTTAGCAAACTTGTGAATGTATTCTAATGTATTTATAATGTATGAATTAAGTTCGGCACGGGGCACAGCGGTAGCACGACGTTTGAAACCAGGTCGGCTACTGCCGTGTAGCACGGCAAGGCTTGCCGTGCTGTAACACGGCAGTAGCACGACTTAGTTTCCAACGTCGCGCTACTTGCCGTGCTTCAGTCGATCTGAGTCAACAGTGACGTAGCCTGCGTCGCAAACGTAATTTACTAAGTAACAGTTTACTTACATCTGTTGCGCAGGCCAACAGTTATGGCAAAAAAAATGTAAAAAGGAAAAAAGAAAACTAAAGTTATACGTGTAAGATCTTCAGTTGCAAAGGGAAAAGCTGTTAAAAAAAGTACGTGGCGCTCAAAAAGTTCTTTTTATTATAATTGCATTAGATCAGAATTAGGAAATAGACTCCCCCGGTGTTAATTTCTTCTACGCCGTTCAATCATTACGTTCGTGTCTGCCGGGAAATGTTTTCCGTACGCTTTGAGACGAGGCCGGATAGTACATGGTCTTTCGAAGTGATAAAATGGCATCGAAACCATATTTCATCTAGGGATCCACAACTAATTTCGGCAATTTAAAACGCAGTTAGGCAAAATTGGCAATTTTTAATTTTTAACGGCAAGTATGACGACACGTGAACACTATACTGTATCTCTGATTTATATTCGACAGCCTTTCCGGATCTCCACTAGTCGATTCATTGAAACGTTTACCAGATAATTTCCCAGTAACACGAGTAACATACGACCTTTTAACTCAAATTTACACTGTCAAATTGTCAACAAGCTTTACCACTCTTGTTTTCTAAACTGCCAAACGTGGGAACGTCTGAAAGATGTTACTGTTATCAAGATAATGAAAATCAAAGAATAAGTCAGTTCAAGGTTATCTGAATCTAGTTCAGGAAACAAACAGAACGCAATTTTGGGCCACTCAAGGACCACCGATTTTTTTTTTTCATATGAAGTCACTGACAGCTAAGTTCCTGAACAAACGAAGGGCACGTTTTTTACAGCCTTCATTATGCAAATATTAAAGAGGGGCGATACGATCGTTTTTGGTAGATTTACAAACTTATTGTTTCCGTTAAAAGCCAGTAGAAAGATAATTTCAAGGAAAATTATTAAAAATCTTTCGACAAACCTAGTAAATTTCCGAATATCTGGTCGCTTTGCGAAACTGAGGTACCAAACAAAAAGAGACTTATGAAAAATGTACCACTTGAAAAAAGTTTTACAATATATAAACCCCAGAAAGAAGAAATGAAAAATTGCATTACCTTGGGGTAAAGTTAATGTATATATACATAAGACTCTGTTTTAAATATTTGTTTCTGAGATTGCTTCCGGTAAATAAGCGTCTGTTGGATATGGTGAAGCAAATCACGAGAGCTCTATCAAGTTCTATCACGAAAAACGTGCTTCATCAATGAGAATTCGACTATAACAATCAATTTCGCAATTCTGTCCGTCATAAACAGATAACGAACCACAAGAAACGAGGAAAGGTAAATTTGATTTTTTTGACTTAGAGAGAAGAAATATTGCAACATTTTCCGGCAATATCAGACAGGCGAGAGATGCTTAAGCTTGAAGTACAAGACCAATGTGCAGCTGTCCCGGTTCCTGGATATCTTCCAGTCTTCACCGCCACCGTATCAGGGCTTTTATCACTTGTCGCTGTTCCTTGTAACATCTTCGTATGCCTCATTATCATGAAGAGCCCTCCTCAGTTCAAAAGCTTACGCACACCCTTTACTTACTTCATTCTTAATCTTGCTGCGACAGATTTGCTCGTTGGCGCCGTAACTGAACCTGTCTCAGTGGTTTATCACTTTATGGAAGCGTGTTCCGTTACCTCTCTGAAATTAGTCAAGATTTTACACGTTGTGTATTTCCTTCTGTGTACGGTGTCTGTATTCAGTATACTGGCATTAACCCTCGAGCGCTGCTTTGCAATTTCTAAGCCTTTAAAGTACAGACAAAGTGTGAATAACTCCAGAGTGTTGCTTGCTGCGGGCATAATATGGCTTTTGTTGCCCATGTTCCTCGCACCTTATTTTTATCTAGGTTACCGCGCGTTTGCGTTCTTTTTCGCAAACTCTGTGATCCTTCTAACATTATGTGTGTCAGTTACTGCGTACTTGAAGATAATTAAAACCATTCGACACAGGAAGAAATTCCGGAAGGAAAGTTTACAGGGGCTGTGCATGGCTAATCGAAAAGCAACGATGTTCGAAGAGAAGCTTACCAACACATTCACTTCGATTCTGATTCTGTTTGGAGTTTGCTACGTGATACCATGCATTCTGATGTACCTAATGAATTTATGTACGCACTGCTCGTGCGATTCCATTCACTGGTTGCGTGACACATCTTTCCTTGGCGTGACTTTAAACTCTGCGATTAATCCGTTTCTGTACGCATGGCGCCTCCCGAGCTTTCGCCGCGCCTTGAGGAGAGTAATTCCCGGATATGAAAGCAATTTGCTATTGGCTGCGGGTAGCCAACCAGAAGTTCGTTCATCACTTAGAAGAACTTCGGTTGTTTCTGTTCCGTTGCAGAATGGGCAAACAGTACTTTAATGTTAACATTCACGAGGGAGATGACGCTGAAGCAGTATAAAACAAAGACAGAAATTGAGGGCCAAAACGTGACAGGAAAACCCCATTCAGCTTTGCAAGAGCACACAAGAGTTTTTAAAAAAATAAATTGCTGATCAGGAAAATACTGTGTATTTTGAAAAATGTTTTTATTTTTTAGTTTGCTTGATTAATACATAACAGATAGCACAGATAAAAAAACTTTTGACTGCCAATGTCATACACGTAAAATGCAATATTCTGATACAGCGTTCCGTGTCTTATTAATATCAAAAAAATAACCCTGTTTTGACCCGTTACGACAAAGATAAACAATCATCAAGAAAAACACTGATAAATTACCCTACCGGTATTTCACAAAGCCATTCAAGCTTAGTTTTAATCTCTCTCACATAAGAAATCCACGCAAGGAACTTGTATTTACAATGAAAGAAAATATTTCGGCTGATTCAATAAAGAACAAGAAGCAGAACGTCCTTTCTGTAAAAGAAAATGAAAAGAAATAACAGGAATTAGCTTACAATTATTCTTTGTTTAGGGCTTGCTATACATATCACAACTTCTTTAAACTACAATTCTGCCGACCAGTTTTCGAGCAGGGTAAGCAATTTTTACAAGCAGTTTTGATCCCAGCATAACGCCCGCAAACTCGGTCACATGTTTGCAGAACAAATTTGCTACAACGTTTGAGTTTACAGACAGCATCATTATAAATCCCGTGGCGGGACAATTCAAATTCAACATCTTCAAGAGAACTTCTGAATAACCTAATTTAGTTTTCACTTGTAGCAGACTGTTATTTGGTATTTTTCCTACAGGAGTGATAGAGTTGGTTATTTGAGAGAGGGAAAGGATAAAACAGGTACATGCTGTCTCTCTCTTTCTTCAGATTTAGTAAAGGGAGTGCACGCTCGCCCCTTCAGTCACGCGCGTGGTCAATTTTGTGTCTCCCGCATTTCGCTCGACGGACTAAGAAAAAATAGGTTCTGCTGGTAGCCTAGAAAACGGAACAAGAACAACTGACCCGAAGAAACTATGTAAGCGTTTTCAGGTTGTGAAGACCGAACTATTTTACGCGATAATTTCAACATAAAACATTCTCTTACAAACAGAATGGCACTATATTTGATTAACCGCTTTCAAATTCCCAAAATATTGCTGAACATAAGTTGTCTATGTAAGACAAACAAACAAACAAAAAAAATGAGGTCAAATTTGATGGCCCAGGGTACTATCTCTTCCTTGAAGAAAAAGAGAGGGAACCTGGAAACAAGTTTGCGTGGGACGGGACCTTGACATTACAATGAATGCCAAGGGTAAGGAAATGGTCACAAATGTATAAGCCGCATGCTGATTTTTATTTTAGCTTATCGCACACTTCTCATGGCGAAGATCACGACTTCTACCAAGATTCCTGCACTTCTTCGACTGTACATATTTATGCACCAAAACAACTGTAAAAAGGAAGAATTAAAATATATGCGAATCATTCGTATGGAAACACAATTTCGAGTTTCCAGTTTCGTTTGCTTTACCCACGAATTTGTCCGATATTTTCACTCCTTTGACGCGAAGAAATTTCCTTCGCCGCGCTCCAACCGAAACCGTCAACTGAGAAGGCAGAGTAGAGGTAATACATCCTTTCATTATTTTGAGGTGATGCTAAATGTAAACAGTTTGGGAATGAGGCGTATACTCGAACGTTGACATAATTGTTACTCACACAATTCACAAAAACTTCCCTCTATTCCACCAGACGACGTGCGAGTTTTAACGCCTACCCTGAAAAAAGGTGCCTAATCATAACTACGACCTAATGACTATTTTCATCTCTGGCTCTGACCTCTATCTTTTAAACGCTCATTTCTCGGCAACTCTCTCTGGGACCGGCACAAAGCCTTCATCTTAGAGATCTTAGAGAGCCCGCCTTAAAGAAAGTCAAAAATTATCACAAACTCTAGGTATCGGTTATGCAGTGGTAGTAGGACTGAGTGCAGTACAATTATTAAGGCCTGATTAGCCCTGAATTGTACGACAGGAAGTCCTATTACCAACTAATTATGTCAATAACAAAATGCGAGAATCTCAGTTAGTTGCACCAGTTAGTTTCATTCAATTTTCTTTTCCAGTTGAAGCTGGACAGCTTACATGGTCACTATTGATTTGTTGATTTTGACTGGTTATCATGTGCTATGTAAACTAGTTAAAATAAATTTCATTGGCCAGTGGCATTTGCTACTTGATTTTCATTGGTTCTTTAACGGTCCGATTATGTGACCTGTCCGATTACAAGCTCCTGGTAATTGGACAGGTCAAATCGGACAGTTTTGGAGTTACAACAGCAAAATTAGCTACAAATATGGGCTGTTAAGAACCAATCAGATTCATATCAAGCATTTTCTTATTGACACAATAAAGGAAGGTAACCGTCTTGCAGATGTGTCATTTGAGGGAGAGTTAATTGTATCAACTGCACGAACACTTTGCTCCATGGACAGTAAACATCGTTCAGAGAATTCAAGAGCGACTGGATGAACTATAGAACAACACCACCTGGTATGCACTAGGTATGCACCTTGTTTTTCAAAAATTTTAAGGCCACCGTACCGCACGCACTAATCGTCGGTGCGAATTTCTGAAAATGGTGTGGGAAAGGCTACATATACGAAAATAATTGTCGCTTTGCCTTTCAAGTAGAAAATGTGCTTCTCAAAACACAAAACTCCAGACCCAAGAATCTGCAATGGTCGCAGCGTAAAGCTTCGAGTTTCAAGAATCGAGTTTTGAGCATGGAGTCAACTTAAGCACTTACGTCACTTCCGGTACCACATGCGGATGGGTTGACTGCGTCGAATCTTTTTCTGCAGCTGCAAGACACCATAGAGCAGAGCCTCAGCAGTAGGAGGACAGCCTGGTACATAGATATCCACTGGAATGATCCTGTCACAGCCACGAACTACTGAGTAGGAGTAGTGATAGTAGCCGCCACCATTTGCACAGCTGATGATAAAACAGTGGTTGAAATTAATCTTCATTCACGCCTGTTATTAATTTTCTCATTTTGTGTTAATTTACTGCACCCTTTGTCACAGGCTATTAACCTTCCCAAGAGTTATCAACATTAATTTTCTCCTACCAACATCCACTTACCATCAAAATATACGATTATGAGAATTAATTTAAAAAACGGGGAAAACACTTTGATCTTTAATCAAAATCTCGCTTGCAAGGAATGAACTGTTGAAGAAAAATAATGTATATAGATCAATCAAATTAATCTTAAATACCACTGCTCTAAGCCAATCAAATTGCAGAAATTTCTCATGTAGTAGTACAATAAGTTAAATTATTGAATTTTTTTAAATATGTTAACAATTTTCCAAAATGCAAAAGGCACGTGAAGATTACATGTAATAGCACAGCAAGTCCTACACAAGATCTTAAAACCCAACTCACCTTCCCATGGATATCACCCAGCGTGGTTCAGGCATCTGGTCATACACCTAACAACAAAATTCAATCAGTAAAACAACTTAAATAACTAACAGTAACTAAGTGCCGGTAAACTATTCTTTTACTTGACCTTTTCTCTCCTAGACTATGTATGGAATTTAGATTATTTGCCACTGTAACGTTTAAATCCGGATTTTTTGAGCCACCTCGGACAAAACAAATAGATTTAATCCTTTAAGTCCCAAGAATGACCAACATCAACTTTCTCCTCACAATAACAATATGTGTCCAAGAGAAAAGGTTATAAGAATCAATAAAATGATCACCTCAGGGAAAATGCTTTGATCTTTTATCAAATTCTCTCAACTCATTCTTTAAGGAAATGTATGGAGATCAGTTTGGAGAATTTGTAAGTGGATATTGAGGCTTTAAGGGTGCAATAATTATCAGGAGGTTTGAAAATCAGGGGTACATGTAAAGTTACAATGTTTGAATGGTGAAGGGTAGTCAGGTTTGGTTCAAATTATTGGCAATTTCAAAAAACTGAGCGTTCAAGAACCGGGGTTCAACTGTTTTATATCTTTTACAAACAGAAATAATTTGATACTTTGCTGTGAAATGTTCCCTTAACTACTTTTAAAAATGAAATAGTTACAGGTTAGTGTGCTAAGCCTTCATGTATTTCTGGATTTGTTGTCATTGTTGTTGTTGTTGTTTTCAAATTATTGAATATAAGATCTACCCCCACACCGACAGTGTAAATACCTCTCATCAGACATGGTTGCCACAGCCAGTGGTTTCTGAAATTCCCTGACTTTTATCTGACAAATGTAAAATTTCCCTGACCAACTGAATTAAGAGTTTCACAAATTACTAGGCCTGATAATAGATTCAACTCTTCCCTCACAGCCATCCTCATAGCCATCCCCTCCACTCCGAGAAAACATAGTGTACATGAATAATAGTTTGTAAGTTAACAAAACAACGTCAACATCGGCTTGTGGTTCAATTTCATCCACAATATTCTACCAATTCCAGACTATTCATGTCCATAAATTTACAAAAGAATTTTTAATGTTAGAAAACAGTAAAGTAGAAGGAAAAGAATAAATATATACTCTCAAAATTTTACTTTTCCCTGTCTTCTTTCAAAGATTAACTTTTCCCTGGCGTGAAGTGAAATTCCCAGACTATTTCCTGACCTGTGGCAACCATCTCAGATCCCCTAACAAAGCAGAAAAACTGCCTGTCATAGGAGCTGGCCTGTTTTATTGTACAGGGATGATCCTCAGAAACAGCCCCCAGTAACTAGCCGATTTAGCTGTCCATCTATCAAGAGGGCTTTAACTCCAAAAGTATGTTATGTTTGCCCCTGGGCAAACTGTTGTTAGAATAATCACAACAACATAATGCCTTTGTTGTACCTTTCTCAGAGCTGGAGCCATCTTGTTGGTCAACGTTCCAGCAACAATCATTACATCAGCTTGACGCTGAACAAAGCAGAAAAACATCAAAAGCATTAGATCTATTAAAAAACACGCTAGGTGCAAGTAACTGTATGATATCACAGACAGCAGTAAAAGCTCTTTCAAATAAAACTAATCTTATAATCAGTGATGCTTTTACTTCTCGCGATGAAGGTTATATATGGGGCTAAGAGTATCAGAAAAAGACTTTTACGTCTTTTAAGTCTTTAAGTCTAAATAATGTTTCAACAAACTTCCTCTGTCTTATCATCTAAATGCTTATTCTCTTGAGAAAGTGTGTGACCACAGGGGGTTCTCAGGTCCAATTAGATTACAATAAATGATTAAAGATTACTTTCGTCTCAATGTGTGGGGAAGTGTGGGCATGTTTTCTTCTGGCGGCCATTTTGAATTTGCAGTCAGCTGGTGTGAGTTCTGGGACCAAGCAATCTTGGGCGCCCGGGATAGTTGGATATTCCCAAAAATCTTTGGAAGCTTCTTAGTATGGCAAGCAAGCATATCTTCCGAGGATTTTGAGGCCTCCCAGACCTTGCACAAGCTGTCTGCAAAATTCAAAATGGCTGCTAAAAGAAAAACCACCCAACCATAAAGTAAGTTTTAATCTTTATTCATTTATTAAGATCTAATTGAGAACCCCATGTGTATGAACTTTAAAATACTTACTGGACTTGCTCGGAAAACGACACCAAACCTATCCATGTCATACCTGAAAACAAAGAGAAAAAACTGAAACACATAAACATATTGGTGAATTCTTCTTATGGAACAATCCCGAAGGTGAGAAGAATTAAAATAACTTGAGAAATTTGGTTGGAGATTGATCCTATCAGTTCAATAATTATCTTAAATGAAAAACTAATTTTCTCATCCTTAGGAATTTGAAACAAACTGCAAAACTGAAGTGAGCTTACAGTAGCATTCAAAAGTACACTACCACTCTGGCCAGTTGTGACTCATCTCAAGACACAATATTCTTGTGAGAGACAAAACAGTTGTCTTGTTACAGGTTTTAAAAAAAGTATGAGTATGAATCAGTGGTCCATGCTTTGCTATTTTGCACATACATCTACATGTACATGTATGACATTGAAACCCTACCTTGGAGCAGCAAAGTGCATCATTTCAACAGCACAACATGCCAGACCAAATGTCATTGGCCACAAAGAGCCCTGCCAAAAGAAAATCTCCTGTCACATTTGCTGTGATGGGTTATGCCTTTTGCACATTATGCAATTAGAATTAGAATTAGAAATATTATAAAATGCAAACTCCTTGTGTGATAGGGAAGATATAATAGACGGCTTGTAAAAAAACTTGACTTCCAGCTTGTCCCTTGGGAAAGCAGCTAGCACATTTTACTTGTCCTGGGCCACGGCTTGATTGTCTTAATTAATGATTTTGTCAGAGGATGACCTGCCTGGACTACTCTTGCCCAGTTGGCAGCAAGTAAGCTTTTAAAAGTTACTTGCCCAGCAAAAAAATCTACTTGTCCCTGACTACCGGACAGGACTTATTTCAAGGCCTGATAATAGGCCAAAAACATTCCAGGGTTTTTCTTCTACCTACACGTATGGTTTAGGGGGTATACGAAATTGAGAAAAGTTGAATAATGTTACAGTTGTCAAAAGACAATGATTGTGCCTGTTTTATTTGGTACTTCAGAGACCTAATTCTCCATTCAAGTCCTGGTAGCATGATCAGACTAAAAAAATATGACAGGAAGCAGGGTAAGCAATTTTTACAAGCAGTTTTGATCCCAGCATAACGCCCGCAAACTCGGTCACATGTTTGCAGAACAAATTTGCTACAACGTTTGAGTTTACAGACAGCATCATTATAAATCCCGTGGCGGAACAATTCAAATTGAACATCTTCAACAGAACTTCTGAATAACCTAATTTAGTTTTCACTTGTAGCAGACTGTTATTTGGTATTTTTCCTACAGGAGTGATAGAGTTGGTTATTTGAGAGAGGGAAAGGGGAAAACAGGTACATGCTGTCTCTCTCTTTCTTCAGATTTAGTAAAGGGAGTGCACGCTCGCCCCTTCAGTCACGCGCGTGGTCAATTTTGTGTCTCGCGCATTTCGCTCGACGGACTAAGAAAAAATAGGGACTGCTGGTAGCCTAGAAAACAGAACAAGAACAACTGACCCGAAGAAACTATGTAAGCGTTTTCAGGTTGTGAAGACCGAACTATTTTACGCGATAATTTCTCTTACAAACAGAATGGCACTATATTTGATTAACCGCTTTCAAATTCCCAAAATATTGCTGAACATAAGTTGTCTATGTGAGACAAACAAACAAACAAAAATAATAACGTCAAATTTGATGGCCCAGGGTACTCTCTCTTTCTTGAAGAAAAAGAGAGGGAAACTGGAAACAAGTTTGCGTGGGACGGTACCTTGACATTACAATGAACGCCAAGGGTAAGGAAATGGTCACAAATGTATAAGCCGCATGCTGATTTTTATTCTAACTTATCGCACACTTCCCATGGCGAAGATCACGACTTCTACCAAGATTCCTGCCATTCTTCGACTGTAAATATTTATGCACGAAAACAACTGTAAAAAGGGAGAATTCAAATCTATGCGAATCATTCGGATGGAAACACAATTTCCAGTTTCCAGTTTCGTTTGCTTTTCCCACGAATTTGTCCATTGACGCGAAGAAATTTCCTTCTCCGCGCACCAAACGAAACCGCCAGCTGAGAAGGTTGAGTTCAGGTAATACATCCTTTCATTATTTTGAGGTGATGCTTGTAAACGGTTTGGGAATGAGGCTTATACTCTAACGTTGACATAATTGTTACTCACACAATTCACAAAAACTTCCCTCTATTCCACCAGACGACGTGCGAGATTTAACGCCCACCCTGAAAAACGGTGCCTAATCATAACTACGACCTAATGACTATTTTCATCTCTGGCTCTGGCCTCTATCTTTTAAATGCTCATTTGTCGGCAACTCTCTCTTGGACCGGCACAAAGCCTTCATCTTATAGAGTCCGCCTTAAAGAAAGTCAAAGAATATCACCAACTCTAGGTGTCGGTTTTGTAATGGTAATAGGACTAAGTAGGGTACAATTCAGGGAGTAATCGAGCGAGTAATTTCGATTTGAAATTACGAGCCTTATCAGCCCCGAATTGTACGACACGAAGTCTTATTACCAATTCATTGTGTCAATAACAAAATGCGAGTGTCACTGGACCAGTTAGTTTCATCCAATTTTCTTTTCCAGTTGAAGTTGGGGACAGCTTACCTGGTAACTATTGTTTAGTTGATTTTGACTGGTTATCATTTCCCATGTAGTTACAATAAATTTCATTGGCTAGTGGCATTTGCCGCTTGATTTTCATTGGTTCTTTAACGGTTCGATTTTGTGACCTGTCCGATTACAAGCTCCTGGTAATCAGACAGGTCAAATCGCACAGTTCTGGAGTTGCAATAGCAAAATTTAGCTATAAATATGGGCTGTTAAGAACCAATCAGATTCATATCAAACATTTTCTTATTGACACAATTAAGGAAGGTAACCGTCTTGTAGATGTGTGAGTTGAGAAAGAGTTAATTGTATCTACTGCACGAACACTTTGCTCCGCGGACAGTAATAATCGTCCACAGAATTCTAGAGAGACTGGATGAACCATTGAACAACATCACCTGGTATGCACTAGGTACTGTATGCACCTTGTTTTTCCAAAAATTTAATGCCGATTCGATTAACTGAATTTTAATATTTACAAGGTAGCCAAAGTTATTATTCCAAGGTTTTTTGGTCGTTTTTGTTACCATAAAGTACACCGTACCGCACGCGCTGATCGTCGGTGCGAATTTCTGAAAATGGTATGGGAAAGGCTACATGTACGAAATTATTGTCGCTTTGCCTTTCGAGTAGAAAAATTGCTTCTCAAAAACACAAAACTCCAGACTCAAAAATCCTCAATGCTAGTGGTGCAAAGCTTCGAGTTTCGAGAATCGAGTTTTGAGCATGGAGTCAATTTAAGCACTTACGTCACTTCCGGTACCACATACGGATGGGTTGACTGCGTCGAATCTTTTTCTGCAGCTGCAGGACACCATAGAGCAGAGCCTCAGCGGTAGGAGGACAGCCTGGTACATAGATATCCACTGGAATGATCCTGTCACAGCCACGAACTACTGAATAGGAGTAGTGATAGTAGCCGCCACCATTTGCACAGCTGATGATAAAACAGGGGATAAAATTAATCTCCATTCACGCCTGTTATTAATTTTCTTGTTTTGTGTTTTATTTACTGCACCCTTTGTCACACGCTGGGATACTTTCTCTTTACTACTATAAGCTTAGGTTATAGCAGAAACAGCTGTTCTCTTGGAAAATTCGGCGGTGTGAACGAGAAAAGCTACTATTCTTTTAACCTCCCAAGAGTTATCAGCATGAAAATTTTTTCCTACCAACATCCACACATCATCAAGGTACTCGATTATGAGAATTAATTAAAACAAAAAAAAGGGAAAATGCTTTGATCATTTTATCAAAATCTCGCTTTCAAGGAATAAACTCTTGAAGAAAATGTATATGTAGATCAATCTGCAGAGTCTATATATACATGTGGATATTGGAGATTAAAAAATCTTAATAATTTTAATAATTGCAAAATTTTAATAATTTTAATTTTAATAATTTAAAGTTAAATAAGTTTATATAATTATTTTAACAATTTTCCAAAATGCAAAAGTCACGTGAAGATTACGTGTAATAATGTAATAGCACAGCAAGGGCCATACAAGATCTTAAAAACTCAACCCACCTTCCCATGGATATCACCCAGCGTGGTTCAGGCATCTGGTCATACACCTAACAACAAAATTCAATCAGAAAAACAACTTAAATAACTAACAGTAACTATATGTAAGCACCGGTAAAATATTATTTTACTTGTCCTTTTCTCTCCTAGACCATGTATGGAATTTAGATTATTTGCCACTCTAACTTTTACATCTGTGGACAAAATACAGTGGAATCCTGATTTTTTGAGCTACCTTGGACAAAACAAATAGATTTAACCCTTTAAGTCCCAAGAATGACAAACATCAACTTTCTCCTCACAATATCAATATGTGTCCAAGAGAAAAGGTTATGAGAATTAATAAAATGATCACCTCAGGGAAAATGCTTTGATCTTTTAGCAAATTCTCTCAACATTTCTTTAAAGAAATGTATGGCGATCAGTTTGGAGAATTTGTAAGTGGATATTGGGGCTTAAAGGGTGCATTAATTATCAGGAGGTTTGAAAATCAGGGGTAAAGTTACAATGTTTGAATGGTGAAGGGTAGTCAGGTTTGGTTCGGCTTTTTGGTGTTGGCAATAATATTTAATATTATTGCCAACACCAAAAAGCCAAGGGTTCAAGAAGCAGGGTTTGACTGTTTTATTTCTTTTATAACAAAAAGAATATCACTTTGATACTTTGCTGTGAAATTTTCCCTTAAATACTACTAAAAATGAAATGGTTACAGGTTAGTGTGCTACGCCTTCATGTATGTCTGGATTTGTTGTTCTTCTTCTTGTTGTTTTTTTTCAAAATATTGAAAATAAGATCTACCCCCACACCGACAGTGTAAATACCTCTCATCAGACATGGTTGCCACAGACACTGGTTTCTGAAATTCCCTGACTTTTTCCTGACAAACATAAAATTTCCCTGACCAACTGACTTTTTTGAATTCCCTGACTTTTTCCTGACAAACGTAAAATTTCCCCTACCAATTAACAATTTCACATATTAGTCCTGATAATGGACTCAACTCCTCCCTAACAGCCATCCCCTCCACCCATTTTTTTATGCTTTCAGCGAGTAATGTGGAGTGTAGATGAATAAATAGTTGGTCAGTTAACATAACATGCCAAAAAATTGATGTTCTTGAAAAGTCAACATTGGCTTGTGGTTCAATTTCATGCACAATATATATATATATATATATATTTTTTTTTTTCACAGCTTTATTGGATGCTCCTCTAGTGATATACAATATAAATTTGTAATACAACACACACACAAAACAAAACAAAAAAAAAAAAGAAAAGAAGCAAAAACCCAAAAGGGGTAGGTGCAACGGGACTAACGTCCCATGCGAGGTACCGCCCCTAGAAATTCCAGACTATTCA